TTTCATTTCCTTCCATCCGCGACAGTGAGAGAACTCGAGAGAGGGAGACAGACCGAGAGAGGGAACGGAGAAGGAGTAGTGCCGGAGGTGGTGATCTGAGGAGCTACACTTGCATGCAAACCGGTTAAACTGTCAAGGTGAGCATCCTGATCAACCTCCCACCATTTTCTTTCCTGTTATCCGAGTGGTTATGGCGTTTTTGAGGAGAGAGAGACAGAAGGGTAGTGAGAGAAAGTGATGGAAAGGATAAGAGGACCGATGGATTCGGATTCTATGGGTAGATTGAAGTGTTTGATGTTGGTTTTTAAGCATGCATGTGAGATTTCTTGCTGTGCTCTAGTTTGGCCGAACAGGGGGGCATCATGGTTTCTGTAAGAATGAATTTCGGTTCCTTATTTACTTAGTGAGAGGAGTTGATCTTGAGGCTGTAAGTTCATTTCTTCCTTCTGTTTTCTTGCTGGCCGAACTGACATAGCACGAAACATATATATATAAATATATGCATGTGCCGCAGGATCCAGAAGGAGTTTGTGTGTGACGGGTTGCTCTGTTTTTTTTTGAACCCGAGACAGGGGAGTGTATTCGGTGCTTGCATGTTGTTTACGTTAGTTTGCTGATGGGACTTTGTTACTGGTTACAGAGATTTTGGAGTGTATATATATATGAGGAAGAACCGAAGCTTGTGTGTGTGTGTATAATGTGTGTGCGTGCTTTGTTGCTGTCATGGGACTCGAATTCATGGAGCTAAGGGAAATGGTCACTGGTTAGATGATGACCGTTTTGGAGAGGAGACCGAACTGATATATATATATATATATATATGTATGTATATAGTTTCAGTATATGTAGCGATATATGACTTATATAGGATTTTGCACTGGATATATATTTCTTATATAAGGGCCGTGGGAAGCAATGGCTATGACTGGAAATTAAAGAAAAGATTAAGAGTTACTTGGAAGCAAATAAATGAAGGTTTAGTATTTAATAAGTGTAAGGATGCTTCTTTGCGTTAAGTAGTATTAACCTAGCTAAATAAATTTTGTTTGAGGCTGGGATGTAAGTTTAGGAATTTAATGTTTTGGTTGCCTAACATCCTTGAGGGTACGCTATTATTGAAATTAAGTTAATTACTGTTTTGAGGGAGAATTAAGAATGTTTAACTTATATTTAAGTTAGTCTTAAATCTGAAAATTTTTCTAGATTTAACTTGAAGGTTGAAAAGAGATGTTGTTGGGTATTTTTAAGTAGTGAAACTGAAAATTGATTGATACTCGATCATAATTATGAAGCAATAGTAATACATAATAAAATTTTGAGATAAGATTGTGTGTCTGTCTTAAGGTGGAAGTGCAGTGGCTGTTATATGCATTTAGATGTCTAGAAATTAGCTTGAAATGATTTAAGTATTGGAAGTGAAAAGTGATACATACACACATATTGAGGGAAGGAAAGAAACGTGTGAGGCTTGGAATGCAATGAACTTGAGTTTTGAATACTGGATATAAATGAAATGGAAAATCTGAAAGTTTAAGAAAGAAGCCTTTGATGGAGGGTTCAAAGGTTATAGATAGTATTTTAGATTAGAGATGTCTTGAAGTTAGGAATAATTTCTAGATTATGAAAGACAGAGGAGTTGATTTAAATTTTATTGTTGAAATGTGCTTGAGGTTACCAACCAATGGATAGGAATTTTAAATAATTAGAGGATAGGTTGGCAAGGATTAAAGTTTGTATAAGAGGATTATGAGGCTATGGGAGAATATATGCAATGTGTATGTGATTGAGCTATGAATAGATAGGGATTGTAAGCGGAATTGTGGACATTGTAATATATATACATATATATTTATATATCTTTAGTTTTTCCATAATGACCAACCACTTAATAAAAGTGGAGCCAGATTTGGAAAAGGGGATATGATGTTATCCTTAAATTATAATAAATAGAAATAGTGCTTTTGACCAAAATGACCAGTTACTAGGTAAAGTAACTGTTTGGGTCGAGATAAGGAAGAAAACTCTCCAAAGAGAAAAGTTTAAATAAGAAAAATTGTTCAGGATGACCAACTATTAAGTAAGGGTAGAGATTGAAAGAGATTGGGATTTAAAGAGAGTTATTTAATTTATAAATTATGTTGGATCAAGTATTAACCAACCCTTACTAATATAATAGGTTTTGATATCTGCAAAAGCCCACCGAAGAAGCTAAGAGAAAGGAAACAAGTAAGGTTTGATTTTGAAGCAGAAGGTTCAGGTAGTAGTTCTTTCCTACCTTACACTTGTGTATGATTACTGCATGTTTGTTTGTGCCATATTGCTATTTAAAGCATGAGAACATGTAATCTTTAATTCCTTGCATGGATTCTTTAGCCATGATCACGTGTGGCTGATAGACATGAGGCAGTATTTGCCAATTATTTGCGCGTTATTTATTCAGCTTGTCTATCTGTCACTGCGCATAAATGCTTAATTGCATTAGCTTGCAAGGTTATGTTCCACTTTGGCTTGTTTTGCATGCTTTATGTAATCTGCACATTTGTTTGATGGAAATTACTACTACGGGAATTCTTCGGAATCTCACCCTCCAATTTATGATGAACAGGGAAGGCTAGTAGCTCGAAGGACAAGGAGATTGTTTAAGAAGAAGGTGGGCTGGTTGAAGAGGAGAGATACCTGTTATAATTCTGTAAATTGTATAGCAAAATATATGGGCAAGTGACTTTACTTGCTTTATGTAAATATTATTTTGTGTACTCTATAAGGAGGAGAGCACTGCCAGCTGTAAGTATGCGTTGTCAACCAAAATGGTTACTATATTTTTAATATAATATTATGAGATTTTACAGTATAAAATCATTCTAGGTAATAATAGATTAAGTTGAAAGCAGGGTTGATATTGGATCACTCATCAATTATCTGAAGGTTTGAAATATTTGATCAACGGATTCCAATGTTAAAGGGGAAAAAAATTCCCTGTCTTTTCCCAGGACGGAAACCTGGCGTTAGTGATTCACAGATGTTAAAATGATCCTATTAGTATATATAAAAGTAAGATGTTGCAATGATTGGTTCCAAAAGAAAAGAAAAGGGAGCAAATGATTAAGATGATCATACTAAGGAGACATGAATTGTAAAAGAGGCTAAGATATAACTATTTGACCCTTGAAGAGGTTTAAAGGTTTGAAAGCAATAAAGATATCCTAATATGTTATGTTATAAAAGAAAAGAGAACCAATAGAAGAATAAAATTATTGACAATAATTTTAGTGATGATATCACATGATCAAATGAGGATCTTATATATAAGTTTGTCATGAGATACAGACAACAAGATAGTTGGCTAATAGAAAAGAAAAGATGCTCCCTAAACCATGATATAAGGTCCAAAAAAGAAAAGCCAAATGGGCGTTTTTATGAGAAAATAAAAATGCAATCTTACGGTGGATTAAATTCTTATTCATCATATCAATCTGACAGTTTAATAATATATGAAAATATTTCATATGCGTCTAGGAAATATGGTGACTCACTATACATTGAAATTTTATATAAATCCCAAAAAAGACTCAAATCCTTGTGTGAGGGATAGATTTGGTTCACAATATATAAAAATCCCTAAAAGACTCAAGTTTCTGGAAGCATACAGTTATGCTCTCAAGAACACTACTCAATTAAGTTAAATAAGTTTCTATATGAAGGCGTACATGGTATAACCGATTTAGTAAATATCGGTTAAACCAATGATATAAAAATATTCCAAATTGCCCATATACAAAAAGATCGGAAAATCAGTTTGTTATCATTGCTATTTATGTTAACGATATAAATAGCATCAAAACTTATGAAAAATTTACAAAAGCTATGAATTGCTTAAAAGAAAAAGAATTTGAAAAGAAAGATTTGAAAAGAAAAATATAGATAAGTCATATCCATTATGTGGATAAGTCACATATATTATGTGCTTTAATAGTTACAAGATCTTTAGATGTGGACTAAATATCATTATGTGGATAAGTCACCTCCAGAAGGGGATGAAAAAATACTTGGTCTAGAAATACCATATTTTAATATTGCTGGCACACTTATATATCTATTTAGCCATACAAAACTTGATATATCATTTTCCAATTAGCATGATATAGTTTTTTTACGAACATGAAGACATTGGAATAAAGTTAAGAACTTTTTTTGTTACTTTCAGGGCACAGTGGAGGTGATATTATTTTATCTAAATGTACCCAAGACTAATATTACTACTATGTAGATAAAGTATTCTTGTTTAATCCTCAAGTCAAAAGATTACAGTATGATCTACCTGTGAGTAAACCACAAAAGGACTATTTGTCTCATAATTTTTAAAAGATTATGAAATTAATATTTGACATTTTTATCTCACTACAACATTTGAAAAGCTTGTTCGTTATATAGACTTTGCAAACTCAAATATGTCAACTGATATTGCCAAGAGGGGAAGTTGATACACATTGTATTCTCTTTTCCTTGTCTATGGTTTTGTTTCACTAGGTTTTACTAGCAAGGCTTTTAATGAGGCAGTACTATATAGTATATCAATGAATAATGTAGTCTTTTTCTTCTACTAGGTTTGTATCCCACAAGATTTTTCCTAGTTGAAGTTTTTTTAATGAGGCACATTAATCTATAATGAACATTTAAGGGGGAGTGTTATGAATATAATAATATCTTTGTTGATGCCTATATATCTCCCATTATCTCCTATATCACCTATCATCTCCAATATCTATCATTACCTCTATATCCTATAATTATTTTCTATTATTATGTAATCTATAGATTCTGTCAAAGATGTAAAGATGTGCTTATAAATAGATGTCTTGTATCATGCATTCAGTACCTTAAATGAAATGAGAAATAATCCTGTATTCTATTCTCCCTTATTCTCTTCTCTTATTTTCTCCTCTTTCTTTAGTTTTATAACACTCATCTAATTCCTTCGTATTTTGTACGCAAATTTCGCCATGGCACCTATTGTTACTTCTCAAACCTTTCTATTTAGGGTTTTCCTCCTTATCTTTCCTTCTGTCCAATTCCAAACCTCCATGGCCTAACCTTGAAGCTTGAAACCACGTAAGGAGCAAGTCAATCACCTTGCTTTTGCTAAAAGCTACCACAAGGCATACGGCTATTTCAGAGACAATGAAGATGATGATATGGAATCAGAAATAAGGAAGTTTCAGGAATCCTATCGGCTTAATGTTTCAGGAAAACTTGATCATGAAATGATCAAGACAATGAAACAACCCAGATGTGGTGTGCCAAATCAAATATCTAGCACGAGCATTTTCAATAATTAAAGTATGCCTTTTTCCCAAATAGTCCTACATGGCCTCTTTCTGAGAGAAGTTTCACTTATAGCTTCAACCCTTCTGGTATCAATGGCAATGCATCACTAGAGGAATTAAGATAGGATTTTCCTCTAGTATTCAAACAGTGGACCAGAAGTCACAAAATTCAAATTCAATGAGGTTACTCCTGGGAAAACCGACACTGTGATATGGTTATATAGTGGTAATCATGGCGACCTCAGTCCATTCAATGGCCCTTCAGGGGTTTGGGCACATGCTTTTCAGCCAACACATGGAAGGCTTAACTTTGATGCAGATGAGCGTTGGAGCAACATACAACCAACGACAACTGACCAAGTTGATTTGGTGACAATAGGGTTACATGAAGCTGCACACATTCTGGGACATCAACGTTGTCAAAATCCAAATGCGGTGATGTTTGCACTTATAGGTAGGGCAAAATAGGAGGATTCTAACTACTGATGATATTACAAGCATACAAACCTATCCGCTAATTACCGAAGATTTTGGATTGTAGAATATCTTATTGCAAATTATTTCATTGCTAATTTTTGAGGAACTACTAAGATGAATTCTGTTGCTAAATTTATCGACAAAATTTTTCCTAGTTGTGGAATTCCATTCTATTGCTAAATTCCACCATTAATCTGTTAGTATTTATGTTGCTAAATTTTTAGAGACGAAAATTAACAATGAAAAAAATCATGTTACTAATTTTTATTACTAATCTGTCACTAATTTCTTTCATAAAATTTTTAGCAATGGAATAATTTTCTTTTGGTGTAAATTCAGAGTATACCTAAATTACTTTGGACTCAAGACTAATTTTTATTAGGCTAGGGGCGTTAAGGTTTAAACCCTCCCAATAAATACGTTTCCAAAAATTTGAACTTGTCTTATCCTTCTTAAGAGGGGGTGAAATTGTTTACCATCCCAACTTACAACTTGTTAGTAGCAATGGAATAATTTTCATCACGAAATTTTAAGATTAGGACAAATTCCATGATGCTAAATTTTTGCGCTAATTTCCATCATTGAAAATTTTAGCTACGGAATTATGTTGTTGCTAATCCGTCACTTCAAATCATAATCATGTAACTATTTATATAATAACATAATTAATAATATAATAATTAAATATATTTTAATTACAAAATAAATTGATATATTAATGACAAATTAACTTGTTCAATTAGACTTTTATTATTCATATTTCATAAGTTCTAAATTTTTTTATTCTGAAATTTGTTTCTTTGTCACCTTGCTATAATTTTGTTATCATTTATTATATAATAATTTAACTACTATTAATTTAATTTAATAATTTCGGTTATACTTATCAGTGACAATAATTTTAACATATGTTCATTTAAAATTAATAATAATCATTTAATGAATATTAATATTTTGACATATTTAACATTTTGATCAATCATTTAATTAATTGAATAAGTACATTATTTTTGCATCTAATCAACTAAAACCCATATTTAATACTTCAACAGTTGAACATCCATTTTAAATATTTTTTTAATTTATTCATTTTTATTAGACGGATGTACGTATAACCCTAATTTACTTATCATTTAATTAAGTTTTAATATTTTATTGACCATTAAGAAAAGTTGAGTGATTAATTTCAAATGCTAATGTAAGATGTGAGTAAATAGCATAAGCAATAAGAAGAATTACAATGAGATCTCAAAAAAGAAAAATAATTACAAAACAAGTTCTAGAAGTTATCATTTTTTTTACTTTGAAACTTATCATTACAGACTACTTAGGTTATTATTAAAAAATTTTAGTAATTATTTTCTTTATTTAGGACCTCATTGTAATTCTTCCTTAGCAATAAGTACCAACTCCAAGACTCCAAGCAATAAGGGTCTATTTACAAATGAGAGAATAAAAATAAAAACAATTTTTTGCCAACAAAAATAAAAACAATTAATTGAGAGGACAATTAATTGAGAGAAATGACTATAAATATGTCAAATCATCTCAAAATGACAAGACCGCATAATTATTCATTAAAATGAATTTATGAAATTGAATTTCGATTGAATCATTTAATTTAATTAGATCCAATCCTAACATGAATTTGGTTATGCTGACAACTTGTATATGGGAATTTTAATTATTGCAAAGATTCACAGATAATATATTGCATACATATTTTTGGCATAAATCCTGTATTTCAGCAAACCAAAAAAGATATTCCTTTCGGTTCAAAATAGAAGATAAATTTTATTGGAGGGGCTTGATTTCTTTATAAGATAACATTCATTTTCGTCAAAACATTTAATGAGTTTCTTTTTTCAATTTTTCCCCCTCATATATTCTTTTTTCTTTTTTATTCATTTATTGTAACTTTTACTTATTCTCTTCATTAATAAAGGCATATTTGGAGAGAAAAATATACACATTACATATTTATTTTTTAAATTAATTTTAACTAATTTGTGGATAAAAATATGTGGATAAAGTTTATCTTATATTTTGAACTGAAGGAAGTATCTAGCATGCATGTTTTATAAAATACTCCCTCCAAATTTTAATGAGACATTTTTAGAAGTTTTCATTGGCACTTAACATAAGATACTTTTATAGAATTAACAAATTATTTATAATTTATTGTTAAAATGTCCATATATCTAATTGATTTATCTGGGGGCATATCCGACTTTAATGTTCAAATATTATATAAATAATTTTAATTAAAAGTCGTGCAGATGGTTATAATCACTTTTGACATATCACGATTATTAACTAATCTCAGTAATCTTTTCTCAATTCGTATAATTCAATTAAAAATGTCTCATTTAATTATTTACTTACAAATCCCAATGCACATTGATGTACAGGCAGGAATGACTGCTTGCGATCAACATTCATAAATTAAATCAATCTTACCAACTACAAATTATATAGGCAGGTATTGTTTATAGCACTGTAGATGAGTTTTCCCATCATCCCTATCTTTATATTTAAGTTCGAACATCATGTTCATATATTTTAATCACCAAAAAAAAAAAAAACAAAGTGAAGAGAGGGATAATTATTTAAGGCCAAAAACGAGAGGAATATAATTATTTTCATACTTCAATCGTTTAAAAGAAGAAAAAAATGTAAAAATGAAGAGAGGGAGATTTGTATATTTTTTATTTATTGCAATATGGGACTTAAAGTGAAAATCTTTTCTTTTAAATATATGCATATTCATAGTTTAATCATTCAAAGAAGAAGATTGAAAAAAAATGAAGGAAAGAAGTTTTAGTTTCAAACTTTGAATTAGGAAACCATAAAAGGATAGAAGATGAAAATTTATTATCCACCACTAACAAAAATTTGACTTTCAGTGGTGTAGTGGTGATAGCCGCTGTGAAAGTCCAAAAGTGACATTTTGTCGCTGCTAGGTCACTGCCCAAGCAGCCATAGTTGAAACTTATCAGTGACGACTTACAAAGTCATTGTTAAAAGTCTATTTTCAGCGACGACTAGTACTTAGAGACAATACAATCTTGACTTTCTTTCCTAAGCTTGAATATGACAAAAACCAAGGGACTGTAGGAGGTATAGCAAGCATAGTCAGTAGTCTGGTCTAATGTATGCTATGTTGTGTACTCGACCTAACATGTGCTTCACAAGGTCCTTTCAGCGGTGACATAATGTCGCCATTAAAAGGTAATGAGATTATTACCAGCAAATGTCACCACTGAAACATAAGAATTGGTAGCGACAATTGTCGCCGCTAAAGCTTGTTTAACGGTGATTGTAAAAAACCTCAATCAGTGGCAAAAGAAGTGTTGCTGCTGAAACAAGTAACTAGCAATGACAGATTATCGCTGTTGATTACCATTTTTAGCAGCAACATTTTTCGAATAAGCCATATTAAGTTGTATAGTTCTTTCAAGTTAGTTTCAAGAATTTGTTTAAAAATGCTTTGACTGTTTGAATTGGTCGATGACCCAATGGTTGGATTTTTTGCCTTAGTCATTGAGGAAACCAACTATGACTTTGCAAGTAAGATTTTTCATTGCCTTTCATTTAATGTCATGGCCCAACATTAGCTAGACATGTAAAAACAATGTAACCATCATTAATTTTCAACATTCTTGAAGAACCAAGACTATACTGAGTTGTGTAGAATTTTCAAGTGAATTTAACAAGTATTAACGCAGAATCACCTAGTGTCAGTTAATTACAAAGAAGAGTCAGATTTTTTTCAGCCTTTTATTTAATTAATCAATATTTTATTAAGTAAGCATAAATTTTTCCAGCACCCACATTTAAATAAATTCATCAAGCTCATCAAACTAAAATTTTAAGTTTGTTCAAATTTCCAGCACCCTTCTTGCGCTGCAAAAAGCTACTGTACATAAAAAGATTATCAAGATCCAATTAATATCCACATTCATGCAGCAACACAAATCCAGAGAAAATGAAATAGGATTCTATAATATATTCCTCCATACATACACACAGCAACCATCAAATTGGGAAGGGGTTTTAAAAAAGGCACCATAATTCCCAAAGAATAAAGAGAATAGGAGCAGATAAAAGAACTCACACAATCAAACACTACAAAAGTAAAGAAAGCTCCAAGGTCGTGTACTGTATCACAACAAACCAGAGGGAGAAGCAAATCTGAAAATGCCGAACAAGGAAGAAAAAAAAAATGCAGCACCATAAGACTTCGAGCGAAAAACAAGACCAACGCACATACATAGACGACGGCAAGGAAGGACGCCGAAAGCGATGGACTGAACATAAGAGCTAGCGTTTCCAAGTTTCAGATCGCGAAACTTCTCCTTGCTTTTGTCTGCGTCACTAGTCAATGAGAGGGAAGGTTTGTGGCAAATAGAATTTTTAGAGATTGGGCGGGTTAAACACATTGTTTTAGGTTGGGAAAACCATATTGGAGGTACCTATACTTTTTTTTAATTTTTAATTTGGTACCTATGTGTTTTTTGTTCTTAACTAAATCTTTATTTTTCCTCTATTAACATCATTAATCCTTATATAGAGACTAAAAATATCAATAGAACAAAGTTATAAGAGCTAATTTTACTAAAAAGATAAAATTAAATGTTTAATTAAAGGAAAAAAAATATATAGGTACCAAATTAAAAATGAAGAGAAAGTATAGGTACCTTCAATATGGTTTTCCCTTTTAGGTTTTAAATTGACAAAGGTTTATATATAAAAACAATTCATTCAACTTACCAAAACGCACGTGGCTTCACTGGCAAGGGAGGCGCTGAATGTTCACCAGGTCCTTTGTTCGAATTGGACTAGGCTCCTCTATACTATCCGTTTTATCTTCTTTCCCTCCACTACTTTCTTTTTCTCTTTACAACCATTGAATTAAAATTCTAATACTCCAGATTTAATATTTTATAACATTTTATAAAAATAAATATTATTATAAAAAATAGATAAATAAATTTAAACCATTAAAATCTAATTTGAACGGTTCATAGAGTTCATAGCTACATATCAAACATTTTAATAGTTTTAAATTTATTTATTTATTTTTGCAATAACATTATTTTTATAAGATGTTAAATCTGGACTATTAGAATTTTGATCCAATGGTTGTGAAGAGAAAAGAAGGGTAGGGGAGGGGAAGAAGATGGAAAGGGTAGTGGAGAGAATCCAAATCTAATTAGCTCTACTTGCATAAATTTCTTTCATTTTATTAAGGGAAAATGATAATAAAATACCTTCTGAATTTCAAAATGATAAATAAGGCATCTGAATAAACAAAATGACAAATAAGGCATTAGGTACCAATCTGGAATTTTGATTTTTGGTCTCAAAACATGTTGCAAAACCCATTAATGAAGTAGTAACTCTCACTATAAAAGTTGTAAATCTCACTATGTGTTTTGTGAAATTCAGTGTGGAATTGTATTGTTTTTTATAAAAAAGTTGCCCAACTCCTCAAAACAGGTTGCAAAACCTATTGACCAAGTAGTAAATCTTACTATGAAAGTTGTAAACCCCACTATGTGTTTGTAAAATTCGGTAAAACTTGCCCAACCCTTCAAAACAGGTTACAAAACCTATTGACGAAATAGTAACTCTCACTATGAAAGTTATAAAACCCACTATGTATTTTGTAAAATTCAACATCAAAATCCCAGATTAGTACCTGATGTCTCTTTTATCATTTTGTTTATTAAGATGTTTTATTTGTTATTTTGAAATTCAGAAAGTATTTTATTATCATTTTTCCTTTTATTAATTGATCATTTTATTTTATTTTTTTCAATAAAAGAAGAATTTGGGGAGCTGTAGTACGTTGTCCTCCAAGTCGAGAGAGAGTCAACGTCAACTTATAAAAATGATATTAAAAAGAAAAACAAAAGAACAAAAGAAGGGGGGAGCGCGCATCTTTCCTCAAGGATGCATTTTCAGCTTGTACAACCACCTTGCTGGAACACGATGCTGCTTTGACTTCGCCATTCGCCAAGGAAATCGAAATCTTCAAGTTGGTGTATCCCTTCTGGCCAATAAGAAAAAGGTGGTTTTGCTTCTGCTAAATATATCTTCCTTGGTTTTTGCTTCGATCAGTGCAATTGACTCAACTTCTTGAGAACTAAGAATCAATCACGGTTGAGATATCTTTTAGGTTGTATAAAAAGGTAATTTATTAGATCTTACCTGCAAGTCTAAGCTGATCTAGTCATGATATAAAGTATCTGAACTGAGTTCTTTTCCTCTTGCTATTCTTGATATGGTAATATATGAGTTAGTTCATAAGAGTTAGAACACAGGCTTGATGGGTCTCCTGTGTCTCTCTTCTGGGTTTTATTTGGAACAGAGATCAGGTGTACGAGTTCATGCGCGATATTCTTTAGTGTGTAACTCAATACCCATTTAGTTTACAGTGCTTTTGGTAAATCTGACAGTTTAGGGATTTATTTAGGTAATGAAATATTATGGAAATTGTAATTACATAAGGAGTCTTAAATTTTCCATTTGTCTCCGTAACTGTAATGTTTTCGTTTCTATTATAGGTGCACGAAGTTGAGTTCTTGTGTTTAAGATTCTGATCCCCAAATTTGGTCTCCCCTTTAATTCAATTGTAGCCTGCTTTGAAAGATGTGAAAAAATCCTTTATTCATCGTCAAAATTGGCGTGTCATAATTGAAGTGATATTTTGCATAACTTCTTGAGGCAAGTCTTTTGTGTTGCAGTTTGCCAAGGATTTGAATATTTTATCATGAATCCAGTTAAGGTCACAATGATGCTATTGTTATAATGAATTCAAAAGCTGTTCTAATATGTATGACTACCACCTGTCAAAGTCAAATCTTTGTTGTTTAGAGCTTATTGGTCATCACTATCATGAAGGTTCCTGCACAAGAAGAGCATCATCATTATACCATACAGAGATTACAGAACAAGTATCCTACCACTGTTTTGTTAGCTAGAAACTGATGAGGTCGAAGAATTAAATTAAAACCAATGTGAATGGAAAAGAGCCTCATCTCTTGTATAAACTTGTATTATAAGTAGGTTTATCAACTTAGATGTAATTTTTTGCTGACACGAAATTTTCTGCAGGTTTGCTCTTCCTATTGATTCAAGAAGGAAGCACAAGAATCAGAATGGTTGAGTCAATTGTGTCCTATGCAGTAGAGAGACTTGGTGATCTTCTGATTGGAGAGGCCAGTTTGTTACTAGGAGTGGGTGATAATGTCAGACAGATGCAAGTGGAACTGAGGCGGATGCAATGTTTCCTGAGAGATGCTGAGAAAAGGCAACATAAAGATGAGAGTATACGAAATTGGGTATCAGAGATAAAAAATATAGCCTATAAAGCTGAGGATGTGATTGAAAATTATGCCCTCTACAAGCCTCGTGAGAAAATCAAACATCTTCATCATGTTGGTTCTGAGATTGCATACATCAAATCTCAGATATCCGACCTCACAAGGAGCTTGCAAACTTATGGTTTGAATCAAACAACAGAGAGAGAACCAGATGTTGCTAATGAGATGCAAAGGCAATTGAGAATGTCATATTCTCATATTATTGAAGAGTATATTGTTGGATTAGATGAGGACATAAACCAAGTAGTGGGATGGCTAGTGAGTAATGATAGACATCGTCGAGTTGTGTATATATGTGGGATGGGTGGTCTTGGTAAAACAACACTCGCAAAAAAAGTTTACCATCATGATTCCATTAGGCGCCACTTTGAGGGTTTTGCTTGGTCCTACATATCTCAACAATGTAAGAAGAGAGATGTTTGGGAGGGAATTCTAATCAAATTGACTTCCCCATCAAGAGAGGAGAGGGATGAGATATCGAACATGAGAGATGAAGAGTTAGCAAAAAAGTTGTATAAAATTCAACAGGAGAAGCAATGTTTGATAATCTTGGATGATATTTGGGGAACCGATGCATGGGACCTTCTATGTCCTGCCTTCCCATCAGAAAATAGCCACAGTAAAATTGTATTCACATCTCGCAAAAAAGATGTAGCATCATATGTGGATACTACTGGCTTGCTTCACGAATTAGGGTGTTTAAAAGAAGAAGAAAGCTGGGAATTGTTTAAGAGAAAAGCTTTTCCAAGAAGAGATTATACAGGTAATTTGACAATAGTAATCACTAAGCAAGCTCATTTCTTCTTCTTGTACTATAGTCCAATTTATTTATTTCATCATTTACACACATTAAACGGCACAGTTAGCTAAACGTAGGTTGTTAAATTTTATTGAAATTCCATTCTAATTAGTCACATCAACACTAAAGTGCATTAATTTGGAAAATAAAAGGTACTTCCATGTTAAGCTGACCATTTTTTTTTGTTTTTGGTTTAAATATTAGTAAAGCCCACTGGAAAAGATTCCATTGAAAGAATATCCTCTGTAACATTGAGTTAACTATCAACATTGATAACACTAAATTCTTACTTGTAACATTAAGTTTAAGTTGAACCTGGGCCAAATTTCTACTGTTTATGCATTAATATATTGGGTGAGTTAAAGGACTGAGAGGCAAAATTAAACTACTCATATGCCATTGGCGGAGAAGCTTCTAGAAACGTCCTTGTAAGCTGTATTAGCCGTATACACGGACAAGACATGTTTACTCTTCAAAGATGCATAATATCATGTCACATCTTTTCTTTATATTGTTTGTTCGTTGGATTCTATCTGGCCAATGTTATACAGAACAAGATGTGGTTTGTGGAAATTTTGTCATGTTTTAATCGTTATGCCTTATGACCATCTTCTACTAACTTGTAACTGAGATAATGATTCTTGAAAGAACATTATCACTTTGTACTCTTGAGCAATGAATAATTGGTGGTTATGCTGATTATGATGTACGTTAAGTTGGCCGTTTTGTCTTTAAATAATAGCAAGACCCATTGGAATTGATTCCATTGAAAGATTATCCTCTGTAACATTAAAAATATTTGTCAACTATGAACATCGATGGCACTAGATTTCTACTTCTAAGACCTGGTTATCATTGAAAGTTTTATTTGACTGTCAATATTGATAACATTAAATTTCTGCTGTTAACGTTGACATTGTTCTTCAAGTGATACAGTGTCCAAAATTTCTACTCATTATGGATTAAAATAGTGGTTGAACAGAAGGGCTTAGAAGCAAAATTAAACTATTCATATGCCATTAACACTAAAACTCCTGGAAACATCCCCATAATCTCTGTTAGAAACATATATGGATCAGATGTACTTAATCTTCACATATGCATAAATCATTTATGAAATACTGTTCTCTCAAATCATGATAGCTCTAAGATTCATAAGATCCATAATGTGATGTCAGATCGTTGCTGTTTTCTTTCTTTGGTTCATTGGAGGCTAACTGGCTTATGGGATCCAGGAAAAGACCATAGAAAAGTTGTCTGCATTGGAAATTACATCTGTCATAGTTTAATAATTGACTTATGACTCTACTAAAGTATGTTCGAATAATGAATTACTGGTGGATATTATTATTATTTAATCTCATATCAGCTTAATGACAATCTCTGAATATGAAAAGAATGACGAAATAATGTAAAATTTTATTTTTCTGTAATGTTATTATATGCATTATCTAGCTAGGAGGATTACTGTATGTCCCATGGTGCTGCTTGCTATTTGTTATTGAGTACCTTTATCTGATATATGCAGAGTTCAGAGTTGATCCTGACTTCGAAGAATTAGGCAGAGAAATGGCTGGAAAATGTGCTGGTTTGCCTTTGGCCATCATTGTGCTTGGAGGTCTCTTGGCCTCAAGTGTAACATTGGAGCATTGGGAAATGATAAATAAATATATGACGACTTACCTAATAACGGGAGAAGTACAGAAAGAGTCAAGATTAGCTAAGGTGTTGGCTCTAAGTTACAATGACCTGCCTTATCATCTAAAACCTTGTTTCCTCTATTTGAGCCAGTTTCCTGAAGACTCTGAAATATCAACAAAAAAGTTAATTCGGTTATGGGTTGCAGAAGGTGTAGTTGCATCTCAGTATGAGACTGAAAGAGGAGAGATAATGGAGTGTGTCGCAGAACTCTATCTAAATGACTTGATAAGCAGGTGCATGGTTGAAGTTGGTCAGATGGGGTCAAGTGGAAGGATTAAAACCTGCCGACTCCATGACTTAATGCGTGAATTGTGTTTGTCAAAAGCAAAACAAGAAGGTTTTCTCCATATTATTGGTGGTTTGCCACAAAATGGGACCAGTGGTTCTTCTTCAGCTTGTACGTTGGATGCAAAACCATCAGGCGTTGTTCGCCGACTTGCTGTCTTCTTGGATCAGAATGTCGATCATTTGATTCCAAGTGATCATAAAGCAAACAAAGGCCTTCGGTCTCTGCTGTACTTTCATGAAAAGAAATGTAGATTGGGGGACTTGCAGTTACTCAAAAATGTTTTTGAGAATTACAGATTGCTAAGAGTTCTCAATTTTGAAGGAATCAAGGGAAAAGAGGGAGATTGCTTGCCAAAAGAAGTGGGGGATCTGTTGTTTTTGAAGTTTCTGAGTCTAAGGAGAACTTATCTACAAATATTGCCGTCTTCCCTAGGCAATTTGAAGAACTTGCAGACCCTGAATTTGCAAACTATAACTAAGGTAACTTGGGATTCAACTGTACAAATTCCAAATGTCATATGGAAGTTGAAACGGTTGAGACATCTTTATCTTCCCAATTGGTGTGGGAATATAATTGACATCCTTCAATTGGAAGATCTGGTCGACTTGCAAACACTAGTAAATTTCCCAGCCAACAAATGTGACGTAAAGGATTTACTGAGACTGAGCAAGCTGAGAAAATTGGTGTTAAATGATCCAAGGTATTTTCAAGATTTCAGTGAAATTTTCAGCCCTCCAAACAAGAAGTTGAACTACCTTCAATCTTTGTCCTTAAGAACAGATAAGTTTTCTTTTCCTGACAAGGTAGTGGATCTTGAAAAACTGGTGTTAGGCTGTCCTTCCCTCCACAAACTACAAATTGAAGGGCGGATACAAAGGCTTCCAGAAATCAGTTTGTTCCCTCGACAAATTGCCAAGCTAACATTGTGGGGTTCTAGATTAGTGGATGACCCAATGGTGACGTTGGAGAAACTGCCTAACTTGAAATTCTTAAGTGGATGGGAAATGTTCATTGGAAAGCAAATGGTATGCTCGCGAAATGGGTTTCCACAGCTGAAATTTCTATTACTTCGGGGCCTTCCTAATTTAGAGGAGTGGATTATAGAGGATCAAGCCTTTCCTAAACTTTATCGATTATCAATAGTTGATTGCAACAAGTTGAAGACAGTTCCTCATGGACTGAAGTTTGTTGCTGGTCTTCGTGAGATTGAGATCAGATGGATGCCTAAATCTTTCAAGAGCAGGATAGGAAGGGGTGGAGAGGATTATGATAAAGTCCAACATGTGCCATATATCGCTTTTCTGAACTAAGCTGCTAATATCAATGGTTGAATTGTCAGGTACAATTCCTTTTTTTTTTTTTTTAAATCGATCTTTTTTTTTCTATTTGTTGCCATTTTAATTTGTTAATTTGACAGCATCGACTTCCTGATATATTCATTCTTATATCATTTGTGTTAGTTGATTAATAAAATCTTTCAAACCCCTCCTCCTTGGGTAGAGAGAAGGAAAAATCAAAATCAGGGAATCACAGATTAACTGCAGAAAAGACCTTAAATTTGAAAGCCCCCCAAAAAGATCTAACTAGCTAAAAATTACCATTTACTCTTCCATTAGTTACAACGCAACCTTCTAAATATTATAATTTGGACTACCAGCTGATTATAGAACAATGGTTTCAAGAATTATCACTTAATCTCCTGTTAATTATAACGCGCTTTTCTGATTCTGATTATTTCCGTTTTGACCAACTAATACCCAAAGTTGTAATATTAGGAATTCTGAATTGTAATTAAAGGAAGAATAACTGATAACTTTAAAATTGTTTAGTCCTTGTGAGGTTTTTTCCGAATTTATGGTTTCCTGAATGTCATTATTCCCCCAAAAAAAAAAAAAATTCCAACATGCCTTGAACCTTGCAGATTCATTTTCCCTTTAAATTAAAAGATGGCACTTATCTCTTACAGCTCTGTTCATATGACAATAGAGAAGAGTAGATTATGAAGGTTATTTATCCTCCTTTTGCAGTCAAATCATAGAAGCAATGCATTGTTCTGGGGAAGCTGAAGTTGTGAACAAGTTTGAGTTGTGCGCCATCTTTGTTCATTTTCAATTTTCAAGTTCATGTAGTTCAGTATGAATGTGTGATTTGCAAGTCTCTGGTCTTGCTGCGGACAAGGAACAAAATTTACATTGTGGATTGTGATCCGACATTCATGTTATTTGTTTGATAACTGTAAGATTACTGCTCAGGTATATGTATGTGTTCAATGTTGGTTCGATTATAACTCAATAATAAATAAGCATTATCCATCTCAAATATATAAGTTGATAAGTTTGTTTTAGTTCTAAATGTAAGATCTCCATCTTGTTTTATAAATCTATAGTTACTTTTTCAAATAATTCTATTGATCACATATACTAAAGGAGTTTCATTAAAGATGATAGTTTTTCAAGTAAATAATTAAAATTATATTCTTAATTTCTAGTCAGCTTAACTCTTATAACAATAGAAAGAGTGCATCATTAGCAAATACTTATTGTCAGAGATGCTTTTCCTTTTGAGCTCGGGACTCTGTCCAAGCATAGCGGGTGATATTATTTCTTAAAAAAGCTTGCTGTTGACATCAGATACTTCTCTTGTTTTTTTTTTTTCCCTGAAAATAACAGATTTTTGTTTTGGCAGAATAATATCCATCAGACATGCAGCGTGCCACGGAATGTCTTGTTATCAGGTTTCAAAAATGATTGGCCTTTCTTAAAATTGTTATGAAAGTGCTAATAGCTATACATAAATTTATTTATTAAAATATCTTGAAGCGTACCTCTGCTGAGGATAATGACGAAAGAGGGCCAATCTTTGTCTATTTATATCCCATTCCATAGAGATAAACATCTTTTAAACTGAAAGAGGGTGATCTCACCATAAAATAAATTAAGCATGTCCCAGTATACCAACATGAACAAGATCTTTTATGCCATTGGAACATAAAGTGAAAAGATGCAAAATACAATTTTATCCTTGATCTTATTTAGTAGGTGGTGTATCAGCACTCTAATTTTTTTAGTTGTGTAATTTTACTTATAATTTTTTTTTATGCAATTATAGAAGAGAAAAATAAGATCACGGGTAAAATGATATTTTTATCTTAAGTAAAATCATGATAAGATTGAGAATGAGCATTATAGCATGCCAAGTATATGTAGGGGCATTATGAATTCTAAAAACATGTCTCAGGCAAATATCCACATAGCTTCCATTAGGTAAAGATTGAGTGTCATGAGTTCCATTAAAGGTAGACATATATTCTTCTATATCAAACCCAAGTGCATTTCAAGACAGTATAATAAAGAAATGAGTGACATATGAAACATCGGCACTTTTTTATTTTTTTTGATAAAAAATCAAAATATATTATCTAATAAGATAAAAAGATATATTAAAAGGCTCCTAAAAAAAGCCTAAGCTATAGACCATTTGGGCAGCTCAAGCTCAGGTGCGGGAGCTCAATAAGATGGAACATCGGCACTTCAAACACACACAAACAAATTAAATATATATATATATATATATTACTTTTAACTAATTTTCTTTTAAAATTAGTTAGCAAGATATTATATTAAGAACCACAAGTAGTATTACTCTTTTTTCAATTCCTAAGGTGAGATAGAAGATAGATATAATAAATACAGGAAAATTGGGGATACATCACTTATCAAGAATTTAACTAGTAAATAGTTTGCTTTGTGCAATTTAATTCCCATTATAATTATCTTCCCTATATGTAAATTAATCCTAATATTTTGTACAATTTTTTTTTTACAACTTAATTTTTTGTGTGTATAACTTATCTTTCATGGTACAATTCCTTGTCATATGGACTATTTGCAAATTAATTTTTCAACAAGAGCCCTGCATGTTTTGTGACAATGATGCTTTTGCTAACTAATATTACCAGATTTTGTTATATTTTTCTGCATAACTTGATTGAAATGCTTATAACAACTCTCAAAGATGACTAACAAACAACTTACAAACTTGACACACAATATGTCCCCAGAAAATTAAAACGCTACACTTGTACTCTTATACCTTCAACATCAGTAAACTTCATCTTGCTTTTGGATCTCCGATCTCTGAGAATACATTTGCTGACATCAACTTATCTGTTTCTTTACTTCCATAACTATGGCCTCCGCTACTTGTCGTCGTCCTGCTCACTCCACTGTAACTCTTGTTAAATTCCATAAATGCCCCTACGCTCGTTCCAGTGCTGCTGCTGAACAAATCGTCATGGCTATCCTCAGAGCTCTTTATTCCTCCTTCAAACTCTTCCCTTCCACTTTCACTCCTCGACTGTTGCTCTGCATTCTCCTGCAGCTGCAACGCAAACTCCAGCCCCCATACGACGTCGTTCATGGATGGCCGCTGGGTCCCATCGTCCAGCAGACAGCTTGCGGCTATCTCGCCGAACTTCCTCAAACACTCCGGCGATATCTTTCCCGTTAAAGCTGGGTCCACGATCTGAGCCAGGGACCCCATTTGGTAGCAATGCTTGCCCCAATCAGCGAGTGACACCTGTTTCTTCTCCGCCGTGCGGATCAGCGCCGGCCGGGCACACAATATCTCAAACAGCACCACGCCGAAGGAGTACACGTCGGACTTCTCAGTCAAACGTTGACGTTTGTAGTATTCTGGGTCTAAATACCCGATACTACCCTTCACCACTGTGCTGACGTGAGCCTTGGACATGCCCGTAGGTCCGATTCTGGATAATCCGAAGTCCGAAACCTTGGCGACCCATTTCTCGTCCAGTAAGATGTTGGTCGTCTTCACGTCACGGTGAATGATCGTGTGCGTCGCACCTGCATGCAGATAATGCAATCCCCTCGCCGCTCCGATACAAATCTGGAGCCTTTGCTTCCATGTAAGAGGTGGGTTATCGGAGTTATATAGATGGTCACGGAGGGTCCCCCGAGCCATGAAATCGTAAACCAGGATCATCTCGTTGTTCTCGTTGCAGTAACCAATGAGAGATACTAGATGAATGTGACGAAGCTGTGACAGCATTTCAATCTCGGTTTTGAACTCGTGGGCTCCTTGCTGTGAATCTGGTTTGAGCCGCTTGATGGCCACCGGCGTGGTGCCGTCGTCGATGTAGCCTTTGTACACGTTGCCGAATCCTCCGACGCCGATGATGAATAGTTCGTCGAAGTTGTTGGTGGCGGCTTTGATCTCGGCGATTGAAAAGTAACGGCAGAGATCAGACGGCAGAGTTGAGGCTGTCGTGGTGGTGGATTTGGCAGTGGAATGTGATAGTGGACCCCACTTGGAGCCTGCGTCACTGGACTTTGAATCCTTCACTCTCTTTCCTCTTCTAATGAGGAAGAAGGCACCAATCATGGAGAATAAAAGGACGCCGGCAACCACTCCGACGACGACGCCGACTATCGCGGCCGTTTTACTGCTACTTTTTGTGGATTTCCGAACTGACGGCGGCGTCAGAGGAGGAGGGGGAAGGTCAGGGTTGGGTCCCGCGAGACTATTACTTTGTGGGTCGCTGATTTTGAAAATCTCGAGTCCGTTCAAGAACGCATCGCTGAAAAGAGTTTGGCTAACGGGAAGAGGATGCAATTGGAGCAAAAGCTTCGCCTTCTTCTGATTTCCTATAACAGAAACAGCATAATCTCTGCGAACTGGAACTCTTTTTTGCTTTGCCCATTTCAGAACATCGGCGTGATCCTCAGCCACCTGTCCGGCTATGTAGATGAAGAACGCTCTGTCACTAGAGTCCGTAATGTTTGGATCAAGCTCGCAAAAGTGAAGTCTAATCAAGTAAGTAAAACCAGAATCAACAGAGAATTTCCAAGTGAGATTATTCATCTTGTTCCAAGTAGCGTCTCTTCCCATAGACCTTGCTGTGAAGTAGACATCAACGGGTGCTGTATAATCAGGCTCCATGGTGTAAGTTAGATTCACAGGTTCAAATTGAGCAGGTAAATATCTTTGATCCGTCACAAAACCATTATCTTGTTCCCACGACCTGAGCATCCCTGTGTCGTGATCAGGAGGTATTTCTCTTCCACCAACGTTGAGCCGAAACTCTGTTTCCAAAGCAGAGCTATTTCCGATTGTGAAAAAGTTTCCACCACCCAAAAATGGAACCCCTTGACCGCCGGAATCTGTGTAGTAAAGATCAGTAGGCATGGAAACGATCTCGATTCCATTGATGAAAGCATAGTAATCTGGGTTCGTCGAGTTTGGAGTGAAGGTCAAGTTCAGCCTCCCACCATCATCCACGTTGATGCAATATTCTCTTAACAAGGTGTCGCTCTGTTCAGCCAGAGCATTGAGGGAAGCGTTGAAGTCCTTAAGAAGAGTGAACCCCCCAGATTCCACCGTGAAGAAGCCATTAGAGGAATCAAAACCTGGGTATGAAGATGGGTAGAAGAATAAACGAACGAATTTCTGACCTGGGGTGACAGGGAAAGAGTAGGTGAACTTAGAGCGAGAAAGACGAGCTGTGGTGAATGGGACCTGAACATTTGAAGGAGCTTGATCGATTGGTTCAGCATGAACTGATTTGTCCTGTGAAGAAGAAGATAAAAGCTTTGAATCGATGTCTCCTATCCATGTCCTGATTCCGAGGGAAGAATTTCCACTAGAGCCACAGTTGATGCTAAAGAGGTCAACGGGATCGTAAGAATCGACGACGAGAATAGAAAGGAAAGACAGAGACAGCGAAAGGAAGAATATGGTGGCGGGGCGAATCAGGTTCATCTTCTGGGGAAGAAAACACAACGGAGTTTCATGTAGAAAACAAAAGAAGTATGGAATTATGGTTTTAAGTTTTCTGATAGTTATAGCTCTTTGATCGTTTTTCTAGTTGCTGGTATAACGTCGCTGTAGGATAACAGGAAGGCTAGAAGAGGGAAGATGCCAAAAGTTGAAGCTCAAATCCCACAAGATACTGCCACTAGCAATTAGCAAACCAAGTGGCTTTTCTTGTTTGGATTACTTTACGATTCAAGAGATAATGGACGGGATGGTTTTAATTTTAAAAATTCGCCCATCATTAGTCAAAGGAGGAGGCTTTAGGTGCGATATGCCTCTATCTTCCTCTGTTTTCTTTAGAAAGGGGACAAAAAAACCTAGAAGAAGAAGAGGAAAGAAAACCTTTTTGGACTTAGATATATAAAATTCAATGTCTTGTAAACATAGGTTTAGTGGTAGTAGTTGGTTCAATTAATCGAGATTTGATTTCAGTAATGTAAGTTTGAGCGAGAATTCAAACATTGCAGATTTGTTTTTCAAGGAAATCTAATTATGTGAATTACTATAATTTGACTTGACAATTCTTATTTAAATAATACAACAACAACAAAATTCCTTATCCAATTAGGTGCGATTTCATACTGCTTGATTAACCTTTTAACCCACGCATCCAATGACTTTTTTTAAAACATGTTCAAAGCATCTCAAATGATTTTATAAATATAGATGTTAAATACCTTGTAAAACTTTATGAAGCTTCATTTATAGAAATATGGTAATGTTAAAAAGGTGTTAAATGAAACGAAATAAATTTTATAAAGTTCGTGAAATTTTATAAGTTCAAATTAATGGATTATCTAACGCTCAAGATTAATATTTATAGAGAATCAAATTATAAGATTTTAATTCAAATAAAATAAGCTACTGGACCCAGATGCAAAATAGGGACATAAATTATAAGGATATATGTTTTAATTTTTTTTCCCTTTTTTTTTTTTGAAATCAACACAAACCTAATTAAATTTTTACAAAATTCACAACAATTTTTCTATTTTTAAAATGAAAAAAGTCTGAAATAAAAGTTAAACCATGCATTACTCCTGATCTCGTTTTGATTTTTAAAATAGTTATTTTTTTCTAAATTTGAAAACAAATCAAGGACATCTGTTCAATTCTTTTTTATTTTTCTAAAAAATATTTTTTAAAAACGTGCAATTGTTAAAGTAATATTTTTGTAATTTAATTTTCATTTTTAAGAAAGGATTTTTAAATTCCAAAATTAAAACAAAAGTTCAAATAATATCAATAAAACTAATTGAAAATTTATTAGTATAATTTATTAGTATTGTTATACTCCTTTGATCTTATTTATAGAGCAAAAATATAAGGAATTTTCCAGTCATACCTTTATAAGGTAGAGAGAGAAGAAATTTTTGTTTTTGAATGGAAAATTTTAAGAAATGGGTCGGGCTTACCTATGATCTAAGAACAGGGAAACTAACTCATGATCTACTAGGGCCTGTCCCTATAAGCACGGGAACATGACAAGTAAGCTTTTTTTTCCTGGCCTAATAAGTAGGAATCTTCCAGCTTTACTAAGCTATGAATGTGCCTCCCCTAACATGGAGATAAATTATAAGGATATATGTTTTAATTTTTTCCCTTTTTTCTTTTGAAATCAACACAAACCTAATTAAATTTTTACAAAATTCACAACAATTTTTCTATTTTTAAAATGAAAAAAGTCTGAAATAAAAGTTAAACCATGCATTACTCCTGATCTCGTTTTGATTTTTAAAATAGTTATTTTTTTCTAAATTTGAAAACAAATCAAGGACATCTGTTCAATTCTTTTTTCTTTTCCTAAAAAATATTTTTTTAAAAAGTGCAATTGTTAAAGTAATATTTTTGTAATTTAATTTTCATTTTTAAGAAAGGATTTTTAAATTCCAAAATTAAAACAAAAGTTCAAATAATATCAATAAAACTAATTGAAAATTTATTAGTATAATTTATTAGTATTGTTATACTCCTCTAATCTTATTTATAGAGCAAAAATATAAGGAATTTTCCAGTCATACCTTTATAAGGTAGAGAGAGAAGAAATTTTTGTTTTTGAATGGAAAATTTTAGGAAATGAGTCAGGCTCACCTATGATCCAAGGACTGGGAAACTAACTCATGATCTACTATGGCCTGTCCCTATAGGCACGGGAGCATGACAAGTAAGCTTTTTTTTTCTAGCCCAATAAGTAGGAATCTTTCAACTTTACTAAGCTGTGAATATGCCTCCCCTAACACCTCGACCACCTCAGGGATCGAACCCACTCCATTTGTGAGTGTCCAACCCCCTTGCCAACTGAACCCAAGGATGAGGGTTAGATGAAAAAAAAATTTTGTGCATTTATAAGATAGAGAGAGAAATTTTTCATATGAATATACAATTTTACTCTTTGTTTATTATTGTGTTATTTTTGTTTTTATAAAGTATAATGTATATTAAATAGAGATAAAGTTAAAAAATTATTAAATTTTAATGTGGAGTTAATATAATTTAAGTTTTTTTCTTTGTATTTGTGAAATATGTTAAAAGTAATTTATAAATAAGACTAAATGTGTATTTTGTAAAGAGAATTTCAATAAACCCTCTTCGTAGCTAATTAATATTAGTCAATCCATAAAACATTTCAAAATTTTAGTCAACCCCTTTGAGTCAAAATGAAATTAAAATTTAAGGATAAAAATACAATAATACCCCTCCTTTTGATTTTTTTTTTAAATATTAATTGTCGCCGGCCACCTAACCTGAGTACTAATAGCTGAAGGATAATTTTTTTAAAAATAATGTGACAAAGAGGGGTTTAAACCCATGACCTCTTCACACACCACAATGAATATAACCACCAAGCCAACCAATCTACTTAGTCATATAATATAAAGAAAAATATATATAACAAAACAAATGCAAAGGTCCAAGTGTAAATGAATAAATGAAATTCAACGATTTACAAATAAAATTCAACAATTTATAATAAAAATTTTTTAATTTACAAGAAATATAAGAAAATTCACAACCATAAATACAAATGTTTATGTTTTTTATAGATCGCCAAATTTTGGTTGTAAATTGCTAAACTTTTGTTGTAAATTGTTGAATTTTACTTGTTCATTTATATCTAAACTCTTATATTTTGAAGTTGTGAATTCTCTTATATGTTTTGTAATGTTTATTTTTCTTGCAAATCGCTAAATTTGGTTATAAATCAATAAATTTTTATTGTAAATCGCTGAATTTCACTTGTTTATTCACACCTACACACTTGCATTTGGGGTTACAAATTTCCTTATGTTTCTTATAAATAAGAAAATTTTTATTGTAAATTGTTGGATTTAATTTGTTCATTTACACTTAACACTTGCATTTATATATATATATATATATATTTCTTTACAACATATAATTAAGTGAATTGATTGGCTTGGTGGTCTTTTTTTTTTTTGTGTCCCAAGGGATCATGGGTTCAAACCTCCTAGCCGTCTTTTTTTTTTTAAAAAAAAAAAATCCTCCGACCGCTGGTGCTCAAGTGACCAGTGCTAGAGGTCAAAGCTCTAGTGACAATTAATAGTTGCTTTTTGAAAAAAATAAAAAGGAGTGGTATTATATTTTTACCCAAATTTTAATTTTATTTTGGTCCAATGTGGTCGATTCAAATTTTAAATTTTTTTGACATTGACTGATATTAATTAGTTATTAAAAGAGTTTATTGAAATTCTTCCTATTTTGTATTTCATAAAAATCATTTTCCGAGAAAGGTGGGGGGGCTACGGCCTTGTCTTGCTACTGGTCCCTCCAACTCCAATTCCTGGCCTGCGTTCGCCCTAAATATTAAAAATTGGATTATAATTAAGCATCGATTAGCATCCTATTGGCATATCTTCATAATTAGGTAGCTTTTGTCGTTTAGTGAAGAATATAGTTAACCTCCCCACTTTGATTATATACATAGATCAAAGAGAGTTGGATGATAGCTGAGTGATTTTAGTACTGTTCATTTATAGGGAAAACGAAAAAAATAATTTTAATTTAGTAATTAAACTCATCAAATTAGTTATTTTAGAATAATTATTATTAATTAATTTTTTTTTGCCAACAATATTAATTTATATATTCACACTTGTGTGCTCTTAAGTCTTTCCATTGGCATCATTATAATTACATCTAATATATGTCTATTTATGGTGTATGGTTAAGCCGTCAAGGTTTATCATGCATAAATTAGTACTACAATATTTGTCATATTTAATGATTATGATGACAAGTTTAGTTGTAATTATTTAAGGCCAAGGTGTACATTTAGCATCCTCATCTTATTTCTCAAATACATTGAGCATTATAATCTTTTTCATAATGCATCCAACACCTTAACCTTATTTTTAGTATATCCAACATTCTAAAATTTAGGATGCTAGATGTAGATAAATAAAATAATACCGAGATGTTAAATGCACTAGCCAAATAAGATCATGATGCTGGACGTACTATAAAAAAAATTAAAATGTTAGATGCAACTTTACCCATTATTTAATGCCACTTTCATTAATATTGAAATTGGTGTCAACCAAATTTGTAAGGTTATTTTATTTAATTAAAAATACTATTACAGTTTACAAAAATATATCCAAAAAAGAATTAAAAATTTTCAAAATTTGGAAATAAACTATATAAAATTTGGAAACAGAATTTAATAAAAAGAAAAATTAAGGAGAAAAGAAAACTGAATTGATTTTTTTTTTCTGGATGCTGATAATTCAAAAAATGCCAATATAAATACTTCATTTACTTTTGGGGACGAGGATTGGTTCATATTATGTCCCAAAATTAAACTCAGCTATTAATTTTCCTTATTTAGTACTAATAATCAAAAGTAAGAAAATAATTCTACACAAGTAAGACGTGATATCTAGTCCTTTTGGAGTTGAATTTTATTTTTCAAAGAAAAAATAGTCACTCTTGATGAATATTCTGAAAATTAATTTTTCAAAGAAAGGATAAGAAATTATGGCAACAAAAAAAAGGATAAGAAATTAAACAATTAAAATAGGTATCTGGTGCAGGACGGCAGGTTAATTATGATTCCGGGGCTTTATGTTTTCTTCTTCTATTTCTTCGTTGACTTAGTCTTAATTTGCTGACTTCACCGCCTAATTTTATCCTCAATATATGTGTTGCTTGTTTTTTTTTTTTTTTGAGCAAAATATATGTGTTGCTTGTTGAAATTAGAATATTGAAGCCTGCAAATTTGAAATTAGATGTCTGGATTCAAAGTATATTAGTAGAATAAAATCTTGCGTTTGGAATTTATTTAATTTTATTGCACCTAGAGCCATCGATGTCACACACACACACTATACAAAAATTTAAATTGAGTTGTGAAAACTGAAAAATTGCAATTTTTAAGTTTAATTTTCAGAAGATATGCACTGCCTCGAATTAGAATATAAGGGTTATATAATTAATTCATATAAATTAAAAAATTATTTACATTACTTATTTGCTAATAATATGTGTTGATTTTCTAAAATAGCCCTTTAGTTATTTGCATTGAAAATTAATCCTTCATAAAAACATCCTTTATATGCATAATCAAATGGAGAGTTTAGGGAAATAATTATAAATTTGAGAGGTAAATTAGATTGGGATATTGTATTTAAGTCTAAAACTAACCCTTCTACTAACTATTGTATTTACTTGTGTAAGTTTTTAAAGAAAATTAATTATTTTTAATCAAGAAATTTAATCATTTAATATGTGCAGTTTTGATTTAGTTATGACTCAGTAATTAGTATTCAACATATTAAAACTCAATACCTTAAGTTTTAATTCTTTTGATATATTAGCATCTACAATTTTATAATAAGTTACAGCTTAATACCTGAAGAACTACATATTTTCTAAAAATGTGAGGACTGATTTATTAATTGACTGAAACTTGTAACAAAGTTGAATGAGTAGTCAAATTTTAATGATTGAGTTTTCACAAAAACTAAATAAAATAAATTATTAATTTTTTGAAAAAAGAAAAAAATGTTTAACTAATAATGTTTCATCCCATTGTGCATATGTACTTTTACGTCTGTGGCATTTGAGAGACAAGTCAGTATGCTTGACTGGTTTATTTAAAAAATGGAATAATTGCACTAGAATAATATCCATAAGGAAAGTAGTTTTGATACCTATCACTATGAAATCTAAATTATTGAGATATAATTTTAGTGGTTTGGATTTAAAATTTTCAATTAGTAAGTAATTTTTAAACAAAAAATTATTTTTTAAAAAACTTATTATTAAGATGTTACATTTATTTTGGATTATATGCTTATTAAAAAAATATTTTTAAAAAACAAAAATTTTAAATATTAAATCTCAGCTATTTATATTAATTTTAAATGATTGAGATTCGATACATCATGATGTTTATTACTATGATGAGGTCTAATACTGGCTCCCCATCACATCCCTCATGGAAAGGATGATCGCACCTGCCTTCTATATAGTTGAAATTGTGCATTACTATGAGAATAATTGGCAGTTGGTACGTTGTTCACATTAATTTTCTTCAATTTGAAACCAAAAATTCTCATGCTAAGACGTCATCAACATATAATATAGGTGGCCTTTTCAGTCCCGAATATATATATATATATATATATATATAATATGTGGCTTTTATACACACACACACACACATAAGCCGCTTGACCAAGCTTCAATAATTAATACTCCTCCGGTCTTTATTATAAGACCCCATTTGACTTTTTATTTAGTCCTAATTATAAGACCCCAATCCATTTTGTCTCTTATATTTATGGATTTTTTCCCAAGATAATCCTTCTAATAATGATAGTTTTAGCTAATATATTTAATTAGCAAGGATATTTTAGGAATGACAACACTTATTTATTATAAATAACCAACTTAACTTACTTCCTTAATCTCTTCAAATAAGTCAATTGGGTCTTATAATTAGGACCAGAGGAGTATAACCGCCAAATGAGAATGCATACCTCCGTAGAATTACCTTTGATGCTAAATACTCTTTTAGTCTTAAATATAAAACCTATTTTATAGTGTAAGTTCTAAATATAAAATCCATTTTGTGATATAATTTACACAACAAAATATGTTTCATATTTAGGACCAGAGGAGTATATGAGAATTAGATAATCAATTTGTTTTGGTACCTCAATTTATTTTGGTTTTTTTTTTGGTGTGCAATTTATTTTGCTTTTTAAATTTATATATAGAGTGTTCATCAAGAGATGATTACGATACACATAATTAGTATTCTATAAAAACACAAAAAACAGAGATAAAAACAAGTTGAAAACAAGAAAGAGTAACAAAATTAACACACATTTGTTTTAAATAACTAAATTAATTTTTTAATATTTAAAAATTAGTTATTTATTTTTTTTGTATAAAAAAGAAAAGAAATTATTTTAATGTGCTCCCGCATCTTTTGAATTTTTCTGCAACCCCGTTTTTAATTTTTTATAAACAGATCATAAATCACGCACATAGTGATTTTAAAAAATTAAAACTAATTAAATTAAATGAATCATAACTTGAAAGTCCAAATCCTCACCGAACCGAATGACTTTCTGTCTTATTTTGTTGGTCATTCCCCCCCCCCCCAAAAAAAAAAAAGAAGTTTTGAAGCGTATTTCCTCTCACTGCTGCTATTATATTTATAAGGTAGTTTCAAACGGCCGAAGACTCTTACAGTCTTACTGTTTAAATTTTATGAATAGTAAATTTTCTAAGAAAAATAAGTGTTGATAATAATTAATGATTAGTTAATTAATTCTTAGGTTCACAAAATGAGTTGGTCTAACAAGATTATGAATTACTAATAACTTATAATTATCATATATTTTGCTAATAGTTTTATCCAAAATATTTATTTTTAATTTTTTTCTTTTCACTTATTTTTAATTAATTATTTCTATTGTCGTATTTACAATTTTTTAATTTAATTCATATAATTTAAATATTTATACTTACTAATTATTATAATATGTTTCCAATACTATATCACATAAATTGCTTTATTTTCTTTATTATATTTATATATTATAACAAATCAGACACATTTAAAATATTATGTTAAGAAAAATAGTTAGGTTAAGTTCCTTATATCTATTATGTCAAATTTTCCAATTCACATGAGTAATGTTAATACATATAGATGTTTGTTATATCAAAAAATTTTCAGAAAATTAAGTTCATAAATTTTAATAATAGAGAGTAGGTACGAGACTTTAGAAGTTTTTGTAACTTATACCAACTCAATTGCAAATGTTTTAATAAATAAAATTAGAAGAAAAAAATTAGAATTCCCTTTCAATTTAATTTTAAAGATTCCTCACAAGTTGATACGCTTGAATAAAGAATGGGAGCCGAGATGAAGTTGGTAAGGACATCAGCTTTAATAGTGAAAATCCATCATCCCTCCATCCAGGTTCAATAACAAACACCTTTCTCCGACCGACAAAGCGAATCAGTCAATAGAATCTCCGAGCGACCCGGATTGGGCGAGAGAGAGATCAGAGAACCGAGGATGAACAACCTAATCTCTCTGCGATTCTTGACAATGATGATGATGATCATACTGGTTCAGGCAGATCTGAGTAGAGCGAATTCAGAGAAGGTCAACGGCAGCTTCACCACCGCGTGCGGCGGTAGCCACTGCGTCATTGGCGACGACTTCGACCTGGAGGTGGAATTTCCGGTGGAATCGCGTGTAGCCAGAATGCTATACGATATTAGGCAGTCTACGACTTCAAGAACAGGTAATCGGAATCAGGCTTCTGTCAACTGTCCTCAAAATCAAGGTTACCGGAGCTGCCTTCCACCGTCAAACGGAGGTGCTCCGAGACAACGCTGTGGCGATTACACTCGAACTTGCTGAGAAAATCACCGAGCTTGGGTTTATCTAATTTGTTGTTCAAAGATTAATCGTGATGATCGATGTGAATGAATCTGGTTTCTGTGTATTCATCGATATATATATATGTATGTATGTTGCTCTTGCTTGCTTTGTTTTGATCCATAGAGTAATTGTAAGAATAATTATGAATTCGATGTGGAATTCAGTTACAGAGAATGAATTTAAACTTGTATCAGAAGTTTGTCTAAGGTTTCTGATTGTATTTCACTACTTCTGGGTTTGAGAGAGAGAGAGAGTGCTCAACCTGCAAACATTTTTCTGGAATTTAGGCTTTATAATATTATAATAAAAAAATCATGAAGTACGAAATGATTTTAATCTTAATAGTTATGACAAGGTCGTAATTACTTTACTGTTAAATTTCAAAAACGTTACTCTAAGGAAAAAGTTGTAATTTTATTTAAATTTTAAAATAACTTGTTTAAAGTCTAGTATTAAATTTTATGGAACTTAATGATCATCTTGACGTTCATCAAGTATTACAATTTTTGAGCATCAATTTATGATTTAGAATATTTAAATTTTTAGATATAATTATTTCAAAAATTCATAGTGCTTTCCGGTTGGATTATTGTTGTTGTTGTTATTGTTATTTTTTATTGCCCTGTGTGTTATTTTGCTGAAGTGCATCGGAGTGAAGCATTTGGGATGCTAGCGTCCAATCGGGCGGCTATTCTTGTCTTCATCAGTTCATCAATTGAAAACATGGGTCACATGTATGGTATAATGAATTGATTAATGAGACAAAAAGCGTGTAAGAAAAATTCAACTTCATTTGGTGGAATGGAAGTGTGGCCACTTTGGGTTATGAGCGCCAAATTTAGATCGTTTTGATCGAAATCAGACGGTCTGAATTTAAGTTTCTTTTAGTATTTAGTATAAGATCTAATTAATTAATTTAAATAGATTAAGAATGTTAATTAAATTAGTTAATACTACCTCTGGTCCTAAATATAAAAGGTAGTTAACTAATTTGAATAAATTAAGGAAACAAGTGAAATTAATTATTTGTAATAAATAAGTATTTTTTTTTCAAAAATATCCTTCCTAATCAAGTTTATTAGTTATAACTATTATTATTAGAAGAACTATTTTGGAGAAAAAGAATAAATATAAGAAACAACGTGGATTGAGGTCTTATATTTAGAACCAAAATAAAAGTCAAATAAGATCTTATATTAAGGATCAGAGGTAGTATGATTTTTTTTCAAAACACCCCAAGCATCTTCCTTCATTCCCTTCTTCGCCTTTTTTTTACTTAATTATTGTTGAGAGAACATCAATAAGATTAATTTTAAAAAAATTAATAAATATATGAAATAGGTCTTAGATATAAGACTAATATTAACTTCATAATTAGATCCTATATTAAGAATTGGAGGAGTATTACTTTTAATTCTAAATATAAGAGTTTGTAGTGCAATTTATACTACAACTAGATTTTATATTTATAATTGGAAGTAGTATGGTGCCAGTTTGGTAGGGCTTAAAATGGGTGAAAAACAGTTTATTTTAGGCAGAAGCCCGATTGAGAATGTTGGTCCTATTTGGAAGGGCTTAAGCCCAATTGAGCTTGTCTGAAATAAGCTCACCGGACGTGTGTGCAAATGGAAGCCCACGAATCTAGCTTATTTTGAGGACTTATCTGCTTATGCTTTGCTGCTGTGATGTGTCAGATGTGGGGCGGGCAGAGGCGCAGAACCAGAAAGTGAGAAGCCACAATGAAGTCAACTTGTTATCTTCTTTTCCGAGTCACTGTGTAATTATTATGGCAACTGCTGTTTGGTTTTGGCCGAAAATCATGGAATCTGATTAAAATTCCTATTATTATGTCTTATCCAACGAAATAAAATTACTATACGAGATAAAATAATAATATTAGGCTGACTCAAATGATAAGGGTGAAATGAAGCGAAGCGTATGGAGATAAAAATAAATTTATTATATTATGTAAAATTATTTTTTTAATTATGATTCATTATTTATTAAAACTTATACCCATTTTGGTTATTTTTAAACCAAACTTACTTTTACTCAATCATAATCCAAACAACCTTTTACTAATATCACTTTTACAAACTAATTTTTCTAAACTCCAATCCAAACACAATTTAGCTTATCTAATTTAACTTTTATCCAATCTTACTTTTCTAAAAGTCATATTGAAAATAAGTTGCTTTTTTCACTGCCAATCCAAATGGACCCATAATTTTATGTTTATATTTCTAATAATAAATAATCATACACACGGTTATAGGTCCTATAACCATATATATGATTATATACGAACGAAGAGGTAGTACCCAATAGCATGGATGCAGAACTCAGTTAGAGGAGACGACTGCTACCAGGATTTTTTCTACTAATGCTGAAGGTACAGTGAGCTCTCAAGCTCAGTCCGCTCCTACCAGTTCACTATGAATTTTCTCTTCTAGAATAGTAGAGGTACGGGAGCCAAGACTTTCTCAAGGCTTGCAACGGAATTAGTAAGGAAACATGGTGTTCAGTTTCTGGCCATTTTAGAAACTCGAGCAAAGGGCCATAGAGCTCAAAAAATCTCTCAAATGTTGGGCTTTGATAATGTCAAAGTCGCGGACGCTTAAGGGTTCAGTGGCGGTATTTGGGTGCTTTGGAAAAATGGGTTGTGGAACTTTGATGTGATTGCCATGCATGAACAGTTTATTCACTTAAGTTTGGATATTGGGAGCAACAAATCCTTTATTACTGCTGCGTATGCTAGTCCAAATCCTATAAAAAGGAGGGGGCGTGGAATGCTCTTAGGCAGGTCAGTGAAACAGTCACAGGAGCTTGATGCATAGGCGGCGAATTTAATGGAACTTTATTTTCCCATGACCGTCGTTCTACTACTCGTGTAGGCACTAGTATTGATTGTGTTTTTTGCCAGTGGGTTGATGATTTGACTCTTACTGATATGGGTTGTACTGGTCCTTACTTTTCTTGGAAGAGAGATGGATGTGAGAGTCGGCTAGATCACACGCCAACTCGGAGATGATGCGTACAGAAATAAAGACGGCAACAATATATTCAGGCTTGTGGCGTCTTGGGTCTTGCATGAAAATTTTGAATCGTTTGTGAAACACACGTGGCAATATGGTAGCGGATGGCTGGACAACGCTGCACATTTTCAATCCGAAGCTATGATTTGGAGCCATGAGGTGTTTGGGCATTTGGGTCGTAAGAGAAGGCACCTAATGAATAGACTAGAGGGGCTCAATAATCACTCTCATACTTGTGTTAACCAAGCCTCAATGAATCTACTCATTCAACAAGTATGGCGAGAACTTGAGAAGTGCTTCTTCAAGAGGAACTTCTCTGAGCTCAGAAGGCCAACTGCAATTAGTACATGTTTGTGGATAAAAATTCAAAGTATTTTCATGCTAAAGTTAATGCTAGAAGACGAAGAAATAAAATTGAAGCTCTCAAGAATGATGATGATCAATGGACATATGATAAAGAAGAGATTAAAGGTATAGCCTTGTCTTTTTATCAAAATCTCTTCAACGCTGATCTTATTAGTTCTAATGGAATCTCTGGTCTCTTTTCCTTTCCTTTGATGGACTCAAGCCAAGTCAATGTTTTGAGAAATAAAATTTCTGGAGAAGAAATTAAACAAGCTATTTTCAGTATGAGAGCTCTTAAGTCACTAGGTCCAGATGGCCTAAATCCTCTCTTTTTTTAGAGTCGGTGGGAGCGGGTAGGTCCATCTGTTGTTAAATATGTCCAAGATGCTTTTGATGATCCCTCCCTCGTTGATGTGATAAATAGAACATTTATCGTTCTTATCCCCAAAAAAGATCAACTTGAGACTATTAGGGATTTTCTGCCCATAAGTTTATGTAATGTTGTTTACAAAGCTATAACCAAAGTGGTGGCCAATAGAATTAAAGATATCTTGCCTACCATCATATCTCCAAACCATTGTGGATTCATTCCGAGGAAACTGGGTTCTGACAATGTGATTATAGCTCAAGAAGTCATTCACTCCATGAGAAATATAAAGGGTAAGAAGGGTTTTATGGCAATTAAGATTGATCTTGAAAAAGCCAACGGTCGACTTTGGTGGGATTTCATTATGCATTGTCTTGAAGAAAGTAACATCCCTCCTGCTTTGTTGAATGTCATTGACTGTTGTATTTCCTCCCCTGTAATGAAATTCTTTGGGAATGTAGTACGACCCAAGAGTTCTCCCCATCTCGAGGTATACGATAAGGTGATCTGTTATCTCCTTATCTTTTTGTTCTTTGCATGGAAAAGCTTGCTTACTTGATACAGGAAGAGATTCATCTCAAGAAATGGAAGCCAATTAGACTCAATAAAGATGGTTTGCCTATCTCCCACCTTGTTTTTACAGATGATCTTATTTTCTTTGCTGAAGCTACTATAGATCAGCTAGATGTTATTAAGAGATGGTTGAATACTTTTTGTGATGCATCAGGACAGAAAGTGTGTTAGAGTAAAACACGAGTTTTCTTCTCTAATAATATGAATCATACACACACTATCCATCTTAGTGAGCATCTTAAGTTCTCTAGCACGCCGGATGTCGAAAAATATCTTGGGGTTCCCCTCCATCATGCGCGTGTGAAGAAGAATACCTATCAATACGTGGTGGATGAGGTGAAGTCGAGATTAAGTAGTTGGAAGGTGAATGCTATATCCTTTGCTGGCCAACATACCCTTGTTAATGCGGTGGCTTAAGCCATTCCTTTATATGCAATGCAAACATGTTGTCTCCCTATATCTACGTGTGAAGAGCTTAAGAAGAGTGCTAGAAGTTTTCTCTGGGGTTCTAATGACGAAAGGAAAAGAGTCCACCTTGTCTCATGGAAGGAGATCTGCAAAGAGAAAAAGAGAGGAGGCCTGGGCATTCGTCACGCGAGATTACAAAATAGTGCTTTTATGATGAAAGCAGTTGGGGTTTAATGAAACAAAGAGATGCTCTTTGGAGTAGAGTTGTTAGAGGCAAATATCAATGTGGGAATGATGTAGTTCCCAAGATTGACAGTTCCCGTCCAGGTTCTCAGTTACGGAAAGGGATACGAGATAACTGGCAGCATGTGTTTCGGGGCTCTGAGTGACTGGTTAATAGTAGAGGAGAGGAAGATATTCGATGGAAGCATGAAAATCATGGTAAATTCTCCATTAAGTCAACTT